GCCGCCGCCGCCGCCCCCGCCGGAGCCCGAGCCGCCGCCGCTGCCGCCGTTCACCAATCTCTGCAGCAGGTCCGAGAAGCGCTGCATCTCGGCGGCCGCGGCCGCCATCTCGTCGTCGTCGTCCCCTCTCCACAGGCACCCGCTGTCCGAGCCACCCCCCGACGACAGCGGCCCCGGCGAGCTGAGGCCCGGCTCCAAGTCCCAGTCTGGCTGCCGGGGGTCCAGCAGGTCAGCCAGCTCAAGGCCCGACAGAAAGTCCATGTCCTCCGGCTCCTCGGAGCGGGCTGCGGCCGCGGGCGGCTCCTCCTCCTCCATCTTCTCCTCAGCAGGCGCAGCCTCCGGGGCGCCCTCCTGCCGCCGCGGAGGCCCGTCCCCTTCTTCCTCCTCCTCCTCCCCGCCGCCGCCGCCGCCGCTGCCCTCCTCCCCGGCCACTGCCCGGGCCAGGCCCGGGGGGCGCAGACAGCCTGAGGCCGGGGACGGCACCGGCGCCGGGCTCCCGCTCCGGGCCGGGGAGCCGCTGCCCGAGGCCGCCAGCAGCTTCGTCAAGCTGTGCCTCATCGAGTCCCAGGGGGCCGAGGCGGGGACGGGGCCGCCCCCGACCCCGCGGTGCAGGCCCCGCAGGTCTCGCGGGCCCCCGGCCCCAGGGTGCGGGCCGCGGGAGCCGCAGCGCGGAGACTACGCAAGGGAGAAAGACTGGGGGGGTGGGGAGCAGGCAGAGGTGGGCACCGCGGCAACCGGGTCGCGAGGATGACTGGACCGGACCGCCCGGGCGACAACTGACTGGAGCGAGCCGGAAGTCAGGAACTCTCGCTCGTCCGCTCCCCCCTCCCTCCTGCTGGACATCGCGAGACTTCAGGGAGCGGCAAGGAGGGGGAGAAAGCCAACTGGAGAATTCTCGCAGTGACCCAGCAGTCCTTTGTGTGCAGGATCCTTTAAGAGGGCGTCCTCTGTCTGACAGCTTTGTTTTGTTTCCAGACCACGCGCTCCTTTGTGTACGGCAGTCTTTTAGAGGAAATAGGAGTCCCCTCCTCTCAGAGAGCTTTGTTTTGACGGATTATAAGTGATACTTGATTAATGAAAGCTTCGCCCTTTATCCATCATTTAGAACCACCCTCTGGGAGACATCTCCTCCCCTCCAGGGGGTTCAAGAGTCAGCTGGGCACCGATTGAACAAAAACAAACATTTATTAAATACCCACCAAGTGCCAAACGCTGGAGGCACAAAGACACAATAAAAACAGTGCTTGCGTTCAAGGATCATTCGGAGTCTACTGAGCGTTGGGGTGGTGGGAGAAAATTACTAAGGGTAATCAAGTATACGAAGTTGCGCAAACAAGAGGGACAAGAGGGCCATCGTGCTAAGAAATAGGGAGGTCAGAAAAGAGATTATCTTTTTTAAAATTTTTTAAAATTTATTTTGATTTATCAACAATCACTTCTATGTGCTTTTGAGTTTAAAATTTTTCTTCCCCTTCCTCCCCACCACCCTCCCTAAGACGGCGCACAATCTGATATAGGCTATACGTATACATTGCTATTAAACATATTTTCACATTAGTGACGTTGTAAGTAAGAATTAAAACCAATAGGAGGAACCACCAGAAAGAGGAAACAAAACTCAACAAGAGAAAAAAAAAGCAAATAGTATGCTTCGATATGCATTCAAATTCCATAGTTTTTTCTTTGGATGTGAATAGTATTTTCTATCATGAGGCCTTTGGAGATGTCTTAGATTCTTGTATTGCTGGAAAGGGTTAAGTTTATCAATATTAGTCATCACACAATGTGGCTGTTACTGTTTACAACGTTCCCTTAGTTCTGCTTACTTCACTCAGCATCAGACCATACAAATCAGGAAAGCAATTATCTTGAGGTGACTGGGGGACACAGTGAATAGAACACTGGAGCCGGAGTTGGGAAGACCAGAGTTCAAAATACTAGCTGTGTAACTTTGGGCAGATTATTTGATTTCTTCTTGCCTCAGTTTCCCCATATGATAAATAGGGATAATAATAGTACCTGTCTCTCCCAGGGTTGTTGTGAGGATAAAATGAGATGTCATACTGCTACATAAATGATAAAATGTTAATATAAATGATAGGTATTGTCATTTCTAAGAGATGGCACCTGAGCTCCCACTTACCTTTTCCAGTCATATTCTATTTGACTCACTCTCCAAGGATATGGATTTACTAGCTGCTCCCTGTGGGGACATTCTGTCACACATCTCAGTGCTCCTGTAGGAACTGACTCCCATGCCTTCAGGGTGGAGTAAGAGAGAGGAGGGGATGCATTCCAGGCCCAGGAAACAGTTTGGACTGAAATTCTGAGATGAACAATGGAATGTCATTCACATGAAGCAGCTAGCAAACCCATGTGATTGGAAAGAAGAGTGTGTCAAGGAGAATAGTAAGACTTAGAAAAGTAGGTGGAGGTGGGTTCTTTGTTCCAGCCAAACTGCCTTATTGTCTATCCCCCAACTTGGCATTCCATGTTCTGCCTATGTCTGGAGCACACTACCTCTATCATCTTTTAAAATCCTTAGCTTCCTTCAGGTTTCAGCTCAGGTGCCACCTTCAATAGGACACTTTTTTCTGATTCTCCTAGGTGTTTTTTAGGACTCTCTCCATTCTCAAAATATGTTATATTTATCTTTTTATAGCTTGTATCCCCAAGTAGAATGTAAACTCCTTAATATATATATATAGATATATAATCACTATATATATATTTTATATATATATATCACTAATATATAGCTGCAAATTATGCAACACTGTAGTCTCTACAGAAATTGCAAATGGGTATTACAGAGAGAACAGTACGGAGAGGTTTGTGATGAGTATAAACAGAATGGAACTTATAACAAAGAATTTCATAGAATTGGAATAAAGGATGTCACGGGGAAATTCGTGAGTGAAATAAATGAACTAGTCATGTAGTAAGTACAAGTAATAAGGAAGACATCCCAAGTACTCAGCTAATATCCTTGCAACATGAGGAAAAATTAGGGAAGATCTACAGCATATTGGACCCTCGTGATAAACTTATTGGAATGCATGGGTAAGAGTTGAACAAAATAAGCAGGCAGGAATGGGTGGCAATCTGCTTCTTTGGAGTATACACCAAAATTAATGAGATCTCAGTTCCATTTGAATATTGAGTATCCCTAGTATCTAGCACAGTCTAGTAGGTATTTGGTGATATAAACCTGGAGTTCAAGGGAAATTAGGGGTAGATATGTAGATCTGAGAGTCACTTGGATAGAAATGAGAATTAAAAGCATAGGAGCTAATGAGCTCATGAAGAGAAAGTATACATAGAGAAGGACAGAATCTTGAGTGATACATCTAAGGAAAGGGAAATGGTTCATGATCCAGCAGAGGAAACTGAGAGAGAAGTCAGACAAATAGAAGAATCAACAGAATGAAATGTCATGAAAGCAGAGGAAGGAAAGAATATCAAGTTGGAAGGGATCTTTCAGTCAGTCAGTAAGAAGGTATTAAGTTCCTGCTATGTGCCAGGCACTGTGCTAAGCACTGGTTGGCACAGGAGCTTAGTATCTTCGATTCCTAGCTGAGAGAGATTTTAGAAGTCATTGAGTGTCACCCAGCTACAGAGTTCAAGAAGGATGAAGTCTGAGAAGAGGCCAGTCATATTGCCAGAGGCTGAAAAGTGAATAGGAGGTGAGGAAGTAGACATGAGTATAACTGGCTTTGTCTAAGAGTTTGACTGTGAAATGAAGAAGACATAAAATAATGGCTTGACAGGATGGCAGGATCAAGTAAAGGTTTATTTGTTTTTTAAGAATGGAGATCTGGACTTGTTTGTAGGTATCAGGGAAGAAATCAGTAGATAAAAATTGAAGATTGGTTGTAGGGAGAGGACTAAGGGGTAAGGATGATCAATGTGGCAAAATCCTAGAGGAAAAGGGAGAGGATGGGATCAAGAGTGCAAGTAAGAGGCTGGCCTAGACAAGAAAATCTACTTCTTTATTAGGGATTGAAGAAAAGGAAGTTGATATTTCAAGGGATTTGGGAGAGGAAAAATGAGGAAGCTCATAATAAACAGACTCAGTAAATTAGGAGGCAAGATCTGCTGAGAAGGAGGAGGGAAAGAATGATATAATGGCTTAAAGTTTGGAACACCTGCTGTGAGGGAGTAAGCCATCAAGTTAATCAAGGAAGAATAAAAGATCTGCCATGCAGCAGTGAGGGGCCAGTTGAAATGAACAAAAACTTGCATTGGACTAAGCTAGGTGGTTGTGACTTCCTCAGCAATGGACAGCAGCAACAGAGATAACAAATAGTGGGGGGGGGGGGTAACTAGGGTTGGCTTTTGGCAAGGCCCGAACAAAAGTAAGATAAGAAAGCTAGGAAATCAAAGAGAGGGGACAATACAAAGTTGAAATATCAAGGTTGTCCAAGGAAGAAAGGGAGCAAGAAAAGATGAAGCAATTGGCAGCTTCCATAGAATTTTCCTAGAGCTCTTTGGATAGATTATTTGTCCTATCACCCTCTCCCTGGTATAATACATATTCATCTATGTCACATCCTTGAGGGCAGTTGCTGTCTTTGTTCATCTTTATTTCTTTGGCTCCTAACATAATACTTTGCACAAAGTTAATGTTTAATAAATGCTTATTGAAAAAAATTGGAGTTAGGAATATATTCCAAGCATCCTAAAGCCTGCTTTAATAACTCGGCATGGAATCTGTCACCTATCACATGTAATACAGTCTTTGCCTTTAGGGATCTTATAACCTACTTAGGGACATACTTGGCAAATGATTGTGGACTAGACACGAAAAGCTAAAAAAAATAACAGTACAAGAGATGCTTTTATCTAAAATATACAGGTATAGTATGGAATATTATTCATGATAATACTTTACATTTATGTAGCACTTTTGTAGTTTTCAGTTAAAGCAGTTTTACAGCTGACAGTTATAGCTATTTTACAAAGTGATTTCACAACATTCTTTCACAGTCTTCACAAACCTATAATGTAAATATGTTGTTCAGTCATTTCAGTCATGTCTAATTCTTCATGACCCCATTTGGGATTTTCTTGGCAGAGATACTGGAATGGTCTGCCATTTCCTTCTCAAGCTCATTTTATAGATGAGTAAACTGAGGCAAGCAGGATTAAGTGATTTTCCCAGAGTCACACAGCTACTAAGTATCTGAGGTCAGATTTGAATTCAGGAAGATGAGACTCAAAGAAGAGAAGGGACTTCCCCAAACTTATATAGATGTTAATTAACAGAGTCAGGAATCCCAACCCAGGACATACAGCTCCAAGTCCAAGGCTTTTCTTCACTATACCACAAATTAATGAAAACATTAAGTACTTCTGAGTCCAAAGGGGAAATTGGTTGTTTTGGTCTTACAAAGGGTGTTCAGTTCAGGAAGCTTCATGAAGAAGAGGAAAGGAAGAGAATAGGCATTCATTAATTGCCTACTATGTGCCAAGCACTGTGCTAAGAACTTTTTTTTTTTTTTTTTACAAATTTGGTCTCACTTGATCCTCACAACAACTCTGAGAGGTAGGTGCTA